CAGGAAGGGGTTGGGGGGTCCCAATGTCCCATTCAAGGGCTCATCCAAGTGACCTGATTTCTTCCCACAAGAACTCAATTCCTAATCCCCCTCCCCCTAAACACCACAGCTTGAGGAGCAAACCTTCACACACGGCCTGTGGGGAATATTTATGACCCAAGCCATAACCACAGAGGCTAAATCTGTCAAATTAAAGTCTGAGCACTCAGTGAATGGGATGTTGACCACAGTGAAGAATAATGGCATATTACAAAGGTACTTTAGAAATAAAAGCAATCCACCAGGGAGATAGCTCACCAGCATAAGTACCTGCCTGGAAAATGCAGCCAGGCAGGTCTTTGTAGGACAAGGCCCCATGGGTAGCAGACCCTGCTCTCTGAGGAAGGTAGCAGAGCCACCACTGGCAGTATTCTTCGGGCCACAGTGGGGAACACACAAGGCTTTCACATGGGGGCCATGGGAACTCTGAGGACTGGGTTGTAGGTGATGTGGCTGGCATCTTGGAATAGGGAGGAAGTGGTAAACTCTGCCATGGACAGTTCTGGGAAGAGAGATTAGAAAGAGGCTAACAGCATCAGCACCTCAAGGTGGTCTCAGTCCTCTGTGAATCATTTCTGCCCCAGGAAGACACAGCCTCACCCCTGTCCCAGTGGTCACCCTGGGTGGAACTGTGACCTCTGCACAGAGAGAGCAGCAAGCTTAACCACACAGCAGACCTTGGCCCAAGCACCACCAGTCTGACTTCTCCCACCCTCCTCCCAGCCCAGGGGAGAGCTGTGTGCATAAGAACAGATGTCCCAGAGTGGGGCAGCAATTCTGATGTCCACCACTTCTGTTTTGCCTCTACCACTACACCCAGAGAGCCCAAGGATACAGCCAAAGCATCAAGCTGGTTGACCCAGGAAACCCTGACTCAGGACAGGATAGGCCAGCCAGGGTCACAGCCAGCAGTAGCCAAAACACTGAGCCAGAGACATGAGACACAAGCGAACTCCAAACACGATCAGGAAGACGAAGCCTTTATTAAGCCACTCCTGGGACAACACAAAGAACACAGAGGGGTATAAAAGTGCAAGTGCCAGTACGCACACTCACACACACAACTCACACACAGTCACAGCCACACCTACCCTTGCCCAACCCTGCCATGGCCGCCTCCACCATGTCTGTCTATTCCAGCACTTGCACCGAGCCCTGGCAGGTGGATGACTGCCCAGAAAGCTGCTGTGAGCCCCCCTGCTGTACCTCCAGCTGCTGCGAGCCCAGCTGCTGTGCCCCGGCTCCCTGCCTGAGCCTC